TTTGGTGCCTGTCCTGGATCTCCCTCTGTAGCCCAGGCTGGCCTCGAACTCCCAGAGATCCGCCTGCCTCTGCCTCCCGAGTGCTGGGATTAAAGGCGTGCGCCACCACCGCCCGGCTTCCTGTTTGTATTTTTGGCAGAGCCCCTGGCTGAATCCTCCTTGGACTATATTGGCGACACCGGATCCAGGGTAGGCGGCTGGGAGCTTCGCAGCTGAACTCCCGAGTCCTGAAATGGGAAGTGTCAAACTTCCAGTGACAACCTGGGGGAGGGGCTCATGGTGGCCTGGAGCCTCTCTTATGCTGGCCAAGGATGTGTGAACACTCCTCTGGACTCTAGAAGTCCCGGATGGCCACAGAGCTGGCAGCCTGGGCCAGACCTCTTAGGAACCCTCGTGCACCTAAGATAGGCTCTACAGAGAGCCGAGTGGCCTCCCCAGGAGCGGGTCTAGAGTCGTTTGCTGGGATCCAAGGCCAGTGCACAGGATTCCAGGTAGCTGAACTCCTGGAGTTGGGGTGAATTAGGGTGAGTCATTGTGGGAGGACAGTAAGGAGTCCATCCTTCCCGGAAGGGTCCCTGGGGCCTTCCAGGAATGAAAAAGGGGAGAGCCAGGCTTCAGTGCCAGACAGGAGCACCTCACTGCTGCACACAGTGACCACACACAGAGTGACAATGACCCTTTTTTTCTTTCCTGCAGGGTTAGATGGCCTTGCACCTGCTTGGCCATCCCTCTGCTATGGAACCCCGTCCCCTGCCCCTCCTCAGCACATGGGAACATGTATCCGCACATTGTGTCCACGAGGGCCCAGACAACGACTTGCATCCACATGTGGATGGGCGCAACTTGCGTGGCACACAAAAACACACCTAGCCACATATGTCAACACTGGGACCCTACACCGAGCTGTATGTGCTAGTGTACCTGGGGCCACCATTGTGAGGACATTCACCAACAGGTGTGACACACGCACCGGAGACATGCGTACTAGTGGATGTACAAGGAACCAGGTGGGAACAGAAGTAAGCGCTTGGAACTAAAAATAGGCAGCCGATAGCCACAGCCACAGCCCTGTAGGGAACCAAAATAGCTCCTCACGAGCCAGGGGGACCGGAAGCCAGACGGGAGGAAAGAGGAAGAAAACAGAAGAAATCCCAGCACACCCAAACATCCCTACCCAGGGCCTGGAGAGCAAGGAACCTGCAGGGATACCCATCCTGACACTGAGGGCCCCAGAACCCACTGGGAGAGCGGCCCACAGTGGCCCAGGCAGACCTTAGCCTCAAGGTCATAGGGTGCCACAAGCTGGGGAAAGGCAGACTTTCCCACTTGAGTCCTCCTGAGGGGCTCTGAGCCTGCAGTCTTCTCAGGCAGCCACGGGAGAAAAGCCTAGAATACATCCACTGGCCATGCAGATAAATGGAGGACTCATCCATTAAGGGTAAAAGAAGGAAGGACCAGGGTGGTGGCCTTAGGCCTCTCCAGTCAGGATGAACTAAACCCAGAAGCAACAATCTATCAGCAAAGGCTACACCACCCAGAAGCTACAGTCTGTATCAGCGGAGGCTACACCACCACAGGCTTTGAATTCACTGAAAAGCTTGCTTCTGTTACCTCAATCTGTGTGACTTGGGACAAGTTACTTTCTATCTATGTGTGCCTGTGTGTGTCTCCCTGGAAGGAAGCCGAAAGCAACTGTAGCCATTTAGACACTAAATAAAAGGCTTTGAGAAACAGCAGACTGCTCAAGGTAACAGTGTCTACAAGCTGCTATCTTCTGTCAGGGCCCCCTTCCAAGGACCAGGCCCCAGAGCTCTGACAAAGGTCCCCAAACAACTCAGGGACAGTGTAGATACCCCAGGCTAGCCCAACTCCTGAGAGTTCCCTGGGGGTCCAGAGGGAGCAGTGAGAGCAGGAGACAAAATTGAGGTGAGGAGAGGTAGACAGCCATCTACCAGCATCCCAGTCAGCTCCCACAGCCCCTCCCCTGGCTAACTTCATGTTCAGGAAAAAGAAAGCATCACATACAGGCCTGGGACCGAATAAGGGCTGGAGAGATGGCTCAGATGTTACCAGCAGCAGCTACTCCCGTCGAGGACCTGGGTCCGGTTCCCAGAACCCACAGGTCAGATCACAACCACCCATCCCTCCAGTTCAGGCTGAGGGACATGTCAGGACCTTTGAAATGAGACTAGGGATCGTGTTGCTCAAACCAGGAGGGTGGCCAAGGGGTGGGGGGGTGGCTGAGTCGAGGGAGGGAAAGGGAGACAGACTAAGTGCGGATCTTCAAGCTGCTGAGAGGGATTTGGGGTTCCTCAGAAAAAGACGGGGAATGCCAAAGGATCTGAGCAGGATGGACATTGTTCCTCTGGCTGCCTGTGAAAAGCTGAGACTACTATATGGATCCAAGCAGGTGGAGCAACCAAAGGGGTTCAGGGGTTACCTGCACCCCCAGGCACGTGAAGTTAAGATGTCGGTGAACTAGATAGGAGGTAGCAGAAAGCAGCAGACAGAAACAGGGAGGCATGGACAGCCTGAGCCTTCTGCTCTGCACCTCAGGGACAAATGGATGAAGGAGGCATCAGCAGATGTATAGATCAAACCCCTGGGGTGAGTTCAACAGGAAACCCCACTTAAGGACAGCACAGGGGCCCCAGTCATAGACAAGAGAAAGATTATGAGGGCCTCTGATGAAGGGGGTGGTCCCGAGGATGGGCACCTGCCTGCCAGGTTGGGTTCTAGGTGAAGCAGCCAGGTTCTCAGTGCTGGTGGACTGGTGGCCTCTGGGACACTATCACACACACTCCAGGAAAGTCACAGGGCAATCACCCCCTTCAGTTGTTTCCTTCCTTGCCATGCCACCTGTGCTGGCTAGTTTTACGTCAGCTTGACACAGACTGCTGTCATCTGAGAAGAGGGAGCCTCAATTGAGAAAAATGCCTCCATAAGATTGGGCTGTACACAAGCTTGCAGAGATTTTTCTTAATTAGTCATTGATGTGGGAAGGCCCAGCCCATTGTGGGTGAGGCCACCCCAGGGCTGGTGGTTCCTGGTTCTATAAGAAAGCAGGCTGAGCAAGCCATGAGGAGCAAGCCAGTAAGCAGCACCCCTCCATGGCCTCTGCATCAGCTCCTGCCTCCGGGTTCTTACCCTGTTTGAGTTCCTGTCCTGACTTCCGTTAATAATCAACAGTGATGTGGGAGTGTAAGCCAAATAAACCCTTTCCTCCCCAACTTGCTTTGGTTTGGTGTTTCATCATAGCAATCGTAACCCTAAGATACTGCCTCACTTGTCATTTTTAGTTAAATTCATAAGACACGGATACATTCTTTTTTTGTTTTTAATGAGGCCGGGTGGATTGGTACAGACCTGTTACCCCAGCACTCAGGAAGCACGATTATTTCAAATAAAGCCTGGGTAACACTCAGTAATAGAGAGCTTGACTCAAAGCACTACAAAGCGAATAATAACCACTGGGGCTAGTGAGCTGGCTCAGCAGGTAAAGATGCTTGCTGCCAAGTCTCACGACTTGAGTTCAATCCCTGGGACCCACATAGTAGGAGAGAACTGACTCCTGGAAGTTGTTCTCTGGCCTGCACAGGAACACTGTGGCACGACCCTGTCCACTCACACACACATAAATACATACATATAATATTTTACAAAAAGAATCATGGTGGGCTGGAGAGCTGGCTCAGTGTGGTTAAGAGCACTGGCTGCTCTTCCAGAGGACCTGGGTTCAATTTCTATCATCCACATGATGGCTCACAACCACCTTGTAAGTCCAGTTCCAGAGGATCTGACACCCTGTTCTGGTCTCCGAGGGCACTGCACACACGTGGCGCACGGATGTAAACGCAGGCAAAACATCCATACGCATAAAATAAAACAAAAATGCGCAAAGAATCATGGACCCAGCATTATGTGCTTAGTGTGTCTGGTGTGCCCCCTCCCACACCTTTTTCTGAACTGTAATTGCACTGACAGGAATCTGTTGAAAATATAGAAAACTGCCAGGCATGTGGTGGCACACGCCTTTAATCCCAGCACTGGGGAGGCAGAAGCAGGTGGATCTCTGTGAGTTCGAGGCCAGCCTGGACTACAGAGCAAGATCCAGGACAGGCACCAAAGCTACACAGAGAAACCCTGTCTTGAAAAAAATAAGAAAATATGAAAAACGATTAGCTTTTATTATTATTGTCATTATTATTGTTATTATTATTATTATTATTATTATTATTATTATTATTATTATTATGTTTTGCAGCACTGGGGGTTGAACCCAGGGCTTTGCACATGTTAGGCAAGCCTCGCTCTATTACCGAGCTGTATCCTCAGCTTTCTTTTCGCCTTTTTTTAAATTAAATTATTTATTTATCTATCTATCTATTTATTTGTCAGGGTCTCTCTATGCATCCCCGGCTGTCCGGGAACTTGACTCAGAAGTCTGCCTGCCTCTGCCTTCTGAACACTGGGACTAAAAGTGTGCCCCGACGTGCCTAGCTTACGTTTTATTTAAAGGCAAGGTCTCACTGTTCGAACTTCCTGTACAGCCTAGGCCGGCTTTTAACTTCCTGTACAGCTGAGAGCCAGCTTCGAATTTACATTCCTCCTGCCTCAGCCTCCAGGTAGCTGGGAGGACAGGCAAGAGGCTGGGGAGGAGGGACTTTAACAGGAACAGTGATTTATCTCCATCATCCATGTGCTTTTTCTCCTTTCTTTTTTCTTTTTGGTTTTTGATTTTTTTTTTTTTTTTTTTTTTTTTTTTTTTTTTTTGTTTTTTGTTTTTTTTTTTTTTTTTTTTTTTTTTTTTAAGACACGGTCTCTCTGCTGCCCTAGCTATCCTGGAACTCACTTTGTAGACCAGGCTGACCTCGAACTCACCAGAGATCCGCTTGGCTCTGCCTCTCGAGTGCTGGGATTAAAGGCGTGCTTCACCACCGCTCAGCCCATATGTTTTTGTAACCTGGCCCTTCTTAATTCTTTTTTGACTCTGCCCAGCAGCTGCCTGTATAGAGAGGGCTCTTCCCTATTTCCTGCTTCCCAACAGAAGGTAAATCGAGCATGGGCACTTAAAAAGTCCCTCCCAGCCCACCACAGGCCATGCTCAATAACCTGCTCTCCGACCTTTGCTATGGCCCAGATCCCTTATCTGTAGAAAGGAAGAATTCCGCAGCCTCGGTCTGTTTCACAACACCGTGGTTGGGCGCAAACCAGAAAGAAGCAGGCGGGTTCACAGGACATTTCCAAAGGCGCTTGTAATCGCCTTTGTAATTTGCTAATCTCTCAAAGGAGCAAACCAGATCTGGCCGCTGTCTCATTGACAGAGCCCAGCTCCCAAGTGATGGACTGCCCCCCCACCTCCCAGCTAGCACACTGGCACAGTGTGCCTGCACCCCTAAGCTCTGGAAACTGTCACCTGCGTGGGCATCCCGTGGCCCAACCCCGTGGAGCTGAAGATGGGAATCAAAGCCCCTGGAGAGCCCAAGAGAGGGTGATGTAGTTAATGAACGAAGAACCAAGGGGAAGTGGCTGGTGCCAGAACTCTCCTCAAGCGGGAGTCAAGAAGAAAATACCAAAATCGAAATGGAGCACACCTGTGGATCCACAGGCTAAGACTCACACTGTGGAAGTGTCTGTGGACTCACACACGAGGGTATGTGCTCTCTGTAGCCTGAGACAAAGGAAGTGGCCGGTCAACAGAGGCCTCGGTAAACAAAGGAATACCGCACAGTGTATGTGTGGGGTAGGGGGGGTGTAGTAGTTGGGGGGGGAGGCAGTAACAGATTGGCATGGTCTGTCTGCCTGTCATGCAGAAACCTTTGAACAGGACAGGGAAGACAGCTTCCTAGAGGATCGCGGCCTGTTTCCCAGAACCCGAACAAAAGCTGAACACTGAGCCAGGTGTGGCGCACGCGCGCGCGCACACACACACACACACACACACACACACCTTTAGTCCCAGCACTGGGGAGGCAGAGGCAGGTGGATTTCTGAGTTTGAAGCCAGCCTGGTGTACAGAGCAAATTCCAGGGAGCAATGGCTACACAGAGAAAACATGTCTCAAACAAACAAACAAAAACAACCTCAAAAAGAAAACAAAAGCAAACAAACAAACACAAACACTGAGCACAGTAGTCCATCTCTGGAACCCCAGCACTGAGGTGGGCAGAGACAGGCAGATTCCCAAGCCAGCCTCCAGCAGAAAAGGTACACCACTTAGCCGGGCGGTTGTGGCACACGCTTTTAATCCCAGCACTCAGGAGGCAGAGGCAGGGGGATCTCTGTGAGTTCAAGGCCAGCCTGGGCTACCAAGTGAGTTCCAGGAAAGGTGCAAAGCTACACAGAGAACCCCTGTCTCGAAAAACCAAAGAGAGAGAGAGAGAGAGAGAGAGAGAGAGAGAGAGAGAGAGAGAGAGAAGGTACACCCCATATCCAATGAGAGAGCCTGTCTCAAAAAATAAGGTGGACAGCAATTGAGGAAGACATCCAACATCAACCTCTGGCCTGGACTTGTGTGGTAAGCCCAGCCACACAGGCGCGCACACGCACACGAATGCACCTTTGAGAACTAACACTGAACAGAAAAACCATACTACTTAAGCCAGCACAGTGGTGCATATTTTTAATCCCAGTACTCAAGAGGTAGCCATATGTGGATCTCTGTGAGTTTGAGGCCTGGGCTACATAGTGAGACCCTGGAGAGAGAGAGAGAGAGAGAGAGAGAGAGAGAGAGAGAGAGAGAGAGAGAGAGAGAGAGAGAGAGACTATCCAGCTCAGGTTTTATAACATATGTCCATCAGAGTTGGTGAGGTGGTGAGGTGGGCAGAGTGTGCTTGCTGGGCAAACAGGACCTGCGTTTGAACCCCGGGCACCACATTAAATGTTGAGCACTGAGAGTGACCCGGTGCTATGAGAAGGCAGAGACAGGAGGATGGCTGGGGCTTGCTGGCCGCCTACCTGGTTCATACACAAGTACGTGCATGCACACACCACACCACACACACACACACACACACACACACACACACACACACAATTGTATATACATATCTATAGAAAGGTCTAAAACGATACCATACCTATGATAATAACATCAGAAGAAATTTCTCTTTTTTCTGTGTGTGTGTCGTATGTGTCTGTGTGTTGTGTGGTTGTTATGTTTGTACTGGAACCCAGGGCCTGTTACATGCTGGGTAACTGATGCCCTGATTTTTTTTTTCTTTACAATTTATTTATTTTTAATTTTATGACATTGGTGTTTTGCCTACATGTATGTATGTGTGAGGGTGTCGGATCCCCTGGAACTGGAGCTGCAGATAGTTGTGAGTTACCATGTGGGTGCTGGGAATTGAACCCGGGTCCTCTGGAAGATCACCTCTGAGCCGTCTCTACAGCACCTTGTTTTTGTTTTCTTTTGTGTTTCTTAAACCAAGTATTCCTGCCTTTTATACATCAACTTCTTTAACTGACCAAAAAAAAAAAAAAACGCATAAAACATGAAAATTCACAAAAACAAGGCTTCCATTCAAGTCGCAAAGAACGAAAGTGGCCAAAGTCAACTCCGGGGTCCCCCTCCCTGCTCCCCTCCGCCCCCGCCCTCCAGCCAGCTCCTGAAGTGAGCTTTCTTCTCCTCCAGGAGGTCGGCTGCACTCCAGCCGGGGCGTCTAAGAAGCGGCTGTCTTGGGCGAGGCGTGTCCTCCTGTCTTCCTTCCTTCACGCCACTCACCCCCCAACCAATCGCCTTTGGGATTTTCACTCGTCGGGTGCTGGAAGCCGCTCACTCAAACTTAAAGCCCCAAGCTACTAACTGGAGGGCAACTCCCCCAAACATGGCTTTCCTTCTCAAAGCCCGGGGCAGATGCCCCCCGCCCCACTGACCCGGCAGGCATGCGCAGTCCCAACGCTAACACGTTAACACCCCACCACCCCCACCCCGGCAGACACCAACCCAATAAAAGAAAACACTCCTGAGAGGAGCCCGGGAACCAGCTGAGATTCCCCCCCTCACCCCCAAATAGGAGAGCAGGGGTCACTTGCTCACGCCACCCGCGGCAAGCGGGGTGAGGAACAGGCAGCCAGTCCACGTGTTGGGTCTTGGCGTGGCTGAAAACCAAGACTGTCACTGAGACAAGGCCGTCACTGCTAACTTTGCTAATTCTGAGGTTCCAACGGGAAAAGGGTTTTCCTCGACCCCAGACACGGCAACCCCTGGGATCCTGGGACTTCTTTGCCATCAGATCCGAGGATCTTCAGGAGCAAGGGTTGAAAATTCAAAGCACTAAAAATGACAGTGTGGCCAAGAGGACTCAGAAGTGCCCATCAGAGCTCCAGGAAAGCCACCTGTGGCTCCATCTGGAAGGCCAGTCAGGGCCTAAGAAGGAGCAAACTTCATTCATTCTCTCCTTCATTCACCCTACGACGGGGCACACTGCACGAAGCCATTCTTAAATTCCCAGTAAACAAACCCGCTAAGAGGAAAGATGTCAATCAACCCATGTGACAACAACCTCTTCTATAACCCAGGTCCACTTCTAACTAAATGGTCCCTAAAGGCCAGCCTCGGTTTCCCCTTCCGGGGTAGCTTAGCGTCTCAGAAACACCCCTAGCTGGAGTGTAATGGCACGGTAATCTCCAGGACTTAATGAGCTCCGGGCACATTCGGAGGACACAGGCTCCCAGGGCAGAGTCTGTGGCTTGGCCGGCACCGCCCGCCTAATATAGGTGCCCGGTTGAAAGGGCAACGGGACCTAAGGCTGAGTGAGATCAAGAGAGAGGCCCGGCTGCCTGCCCTCACCGACCTGGGTACTGTCTGCCTCTGCCAGAGCGTGGGGGAGGAAAGCGGCTTAACTCTCCAGACTGGCAGGCAGTGTGGGGGCGAGCCAGGGCATCGCTGGGGCATCTGGGCGGGAGGAGACAGGCAGAACACCCACTGAGGACTGGGCGTCCGGGGGAGCCTCACGGAGAGGTACCAGGGGACACCAGCTGCCCACAGCCCTGAGCTCACTAGGTACAGTCACCGGCCGGGATGCGTAGAAGGGCTGGAGGTCAGGGCAGCAGCAATCGAAACTCGGACAACCAGGCCACACTTCTGCTCCAGCGAGGGTCAGGCCCCTGGGACGCTGGTGACTCAGACCTCCAAGCCTCCGGGGTGAGCCTGGGCCTCCCAGGTGGTGGGAAGGGTAGCGCCAGTGTCCCACCCTGCGTCCCTCTCCCCCGGAGGACGAGTCACTCACCTTCAGCACCTGCTGCTTGATGAGCGAGGGCACCAAGAGGATCATGACAACACCGAGCGCCGCGCACAGCACCCCTAGGACGCCCAGCCCCACTGCCACCCAGCGCGCCCTGGCGCTGCCGCCCATGTCCGCGTGCGCGGCCGGGGCTCGCGGGGCTCCGGGCCTGAAGGGGACAGCAACAGAGGCGACGGAGGCCACAGAGATGACAGAAGCCGAGGCTCAAGCTTCAGCAAGGTGAGTCCCCGTCGGTGGCCGGCGCAGCAGTAGCCCTGCAGGTGGCCAGAGGCTTTATGCGCCATGGCCCGGGCAGCCCGCCCCCTCGCGCAGCGCGGGATTCCGGAGGGGGTGGGTGGGCGGGGAGTGGGCGGTGCTCTAATGGTGAGTCATGGGCGTGGCCTCCGTCTGGAGCGGCCCCTCCGAGTTCCGCAGCTCTCTGAACCAGTGCACCGGGCGCCTGGATTCCCGCTGCGCGCTCCGGATGGCGCTTCCTTGTGTCTCTGGCTGGTCAAAGTGGGAACCGGTGCGCTCCCCATAGAGCGCAGAAGCCCCTGGCTCCATCTGCACTGGCTAGCCACCCCCACTCCTGTGATCTCGTCTTTCTCCCGATGCGAATGCCTCCCGGCTCCAGCATCCCTCGCCTTGCATCAGTTGCAGTCGGCTGGGGCCTGCCTGCTTGCCTCCGGGCCATGCACGCCCGAATTCCGGGCCCCTCCCGGCCTTCGGACGCCCTCCATTCCGTGTTCCTCCCGGCCTTTCCACGCTGTCCACTCGGAATTCCGTGTCTCTCGGGGCCTTTGCACATCCTCCACTCGGAATTCCGCGTCCTTCACGGTCTTTGCACACCCTCCACTCAGAATTCCAGGCTCCAGACACCCTCTGGGGCCCTGACTCCATCCGGGAAGGTGTTCTAGGGGCTTATCAGGCAGAGATGCCTCGCCTGGCCACTATTGCTCCCTGGCGACTCTTCCTTATCATCCAGCGCCACCGGCTCAGTTGCGCTCAGTTGGACTTTTTTTTTTTTTTTTTTTTTTTTTTTTTTTTTTATTTATTTATTATGTATACAGAAGACCACGCAAGATACCAGCAGGGAGGTGAGGACTCTGTATTTCCCCGACCTGCCCAGTGCTCAGTTAGCTCATGCCCAGCACACAGCCAGGGCCTCTAACCCAAAGTTTCTCAACTGGTGGTGGGGGTGGGGGTCGCGACCCCTTTGGGAGCTCTAAGATAATCGGAAATATCAGATATTTACATTACTATTCATAAGGGTACTAAAATTACAGTTATGAAGTAGCAAAGGAAATAATTTTTATGGCTGGGAGGGTCACCACAACATGAGGAACTGTATTAAAGGGGCAAACCATTAGGAAAGTTAGAAACACCGCTCTAATCCTAACCGCCCTGTGCTACTACCAAGAAAACTGAGGCACAGGGCGACTTACTCAGCGAGGCCAAGGCCTGCTTCCCACTCAGGACATGAAGGGTGGATAATCGCAGCTGAGAAAACCCAGTCTGGCACGTGTAGGGTGTCACCACCTCCTCCTGGCAACCTTTTCCAGACCAGGTCCTTGGCTCCCTCAAGGGTGCTGCTGCCCTATAAGACTCCTCCTGGGTCACACGAGGATGACCCAACAGTATCCCTGACACTAGGTACCTCAAGTTAATACTCCTAAGAACATGGGCCACTCCAGCCCCACTCCCCCCACCCCAAATCCCAGAAGGACTCCTCTTGGGAACCACCTTCAGCAAAATGTCCCCAAGTCGGGATTTACTGAGCATCTGGTAAATTCTGGAGAGACAGCCCAGTCATACTTCCAGCCCTGACTGTATGACTCCATCCTCAGGGGAATGGGATGGGAACAGGTACAGAGGAATCTGGACTGTGAAGACTCCCACCTGAGGCCCCTCTGCACCTCATGCCCTCTTCTATAACGAGTAAATAATCAGAACCGCTCTCAGGCTGCACTCGATTGAGAGACTTAAGCCCGTTGGTGGCTGGCCAACCTCTGAGCCTGGAATATGCAGGTATGTCTCAATTGATGTCCCAAGGCCCCGCCCACCTCTGCCCCTGGGTCCACTGGACTCACAGCCTCCTGTCTTTCTCCTGTCTATGTGGGTGCACCTGAATGTGCTGTTTGAGACAGACTATCCTCCTGGGAACTGGCTGGCCATCCAGCCCCGAGGGTCTTTCCTTCTGTCTCTGCCTCCCCAACACCAGAACTACCAGCCTAGAGTTCGTTTGTTTTAGATTTATTTTATGTGTGCCAGTGTCTTTTCCTTCAGGTATGTCTGTGCACCATGTGCATGCCTGGTGCCCTCAGAGGTCAGAAGAGGACGGACATCGGATCCCCTGGAACTGTAGTTATGGGTGGTTGTGAGCTGCTGTGTGGGTGCTGGGAACTGAACCCAGACCCTTTGCAAGAGCTGCAAGTGCTCTTAACCACTGAGCCATCTCTTCGTTCCTGTGCGCTTTATGGGCATACGGATGCTGGGGACCAATCTCAGGCCTTCAGGTTCTCGTGGCAAGCCCTCTACCAGCATCTCCAGCTCCCCGGCTGGCTTACTCCTGTCTTTATGCTAGCTGTTCTTGATTCTGCACGACTGTTTCTCTAGATCCTTCCATGGGCTGGCTCCTTCTTTCCTCAACCCAAAGCCTGCTCATCAAAGGCGGCTTTGTGTCTAATCTGTTGAAAATGGGAGTCCTTACAGGCATGGTGGTGCGTCCCTGTAATCCTAGCACTTGGGAGGTAGAAGTAGGAGAAGCAGGAGTTCGAGGCCAGCCTTGGAATAACAGGAAGTTCAAGGCCAGTCTGGGCTACATGAAAACCTGGCTCAATAAAGCCAAAAGAAAGGGGCTGGTGAGGTGTCTCAGCAAGACACAAGCCTGACGGACGACCTGAGCTGGAATCCAAGAACCCGTGGTGACAGAGAGAATAGACTTAGGTGCCAAGGCAAACCCCTACAATAATAATTAAAAAATTCAAATGGAAAGAAAAGGAGTGTTCCCTTCATTTAAAATAGTTTTATGTCTCTAGATTTAAATTGGTTGATTTCTTTCCCCCATTTTTCAAGACAGGGTTTTGAAAAACATGGTATACCTCTGGCTGTCCTGGAACTCATTCTGTAGACCAGCCTGGCCTTGAACTCAGAGACCCACCTGCCTCTGCCTCCCGAGTGCTGGGATTAAAGGTGTGCACCACCACCACTGGGCTTTATTTATTTATGATTATTTTCGTGTATTTGTGCAGTTTCACAAGAAGACTAGAAGAGGGAGTCAGATCTCCTTGAGCTGGAGTTAGAGGCAGTTGTGAGCCACCACATGGGGGCTGGGAACCCAACTCAGATCTGCTGTGAGAGGTCCAAGTGCTCTTAACCACTGAACCATCTCCCTCTCTCCCAGAAGTTGGTCTCTTTTTAAGTATCAATGCATCCCTGGCACCTAGAGCCACGCCTAGCAAACTACCAAGCAGGTACTGGGTTAAAAAATTAAGCATTCGGGGCTGGAGAGACGGCTCAGTGGTTAAGAGCACTGGCTGCTCTTCCTGAGAACCCAGGTTCAGTCCCCAGCACCCACATGGCAGCTCACAGCTGTCTGTAACTCCTGTTCCAGCGGATGCTCCTACAAACATATATGCAGGCAAAACACCAATGTACAGAAAATACAAATTAACAAATTATTGTTTAAAAAAATTAAGCATTCAAGTTGGCAAGATGCTTCACTGAATAAAGGCATTTCCTGCAAGGCCTGATGAAGTAAGTTCAATCCCCAGGACCCACTTAATGGAAGTCAAGAACTGACTCCCACAAACAAGCTGCCCCCTGACCTCCAAGGCACACACACACAAAATAAATACATGTGGCTAGGCGTGGCATCACACACCTTTAATGCCAGCACTGAGGAGGCAGAGGCAGGTGGATCTCTGTGAGTTCAAGGCCAGCCTGGTCTACCTAGCCAGGGCTACATAGGGAGACCTTATTTCGAAAACAAATAAACAAAGAAATAAAATAATATAAAATAAACATGTAAAACACTTTTTAAATGTTTAAGCAAACCTTTAGGGAACCCATTCATTTTATTTATTCATCATGAACTCACTGATCATTCAGTTAATAAAATTTCACTGAAGGGGGCTGGAAAGACGACCCAGGGGTTAAAAGCACTCGCTGCTCTTCCTGAGAACACGGGTTTGGCTCCCAGCACTCAAGGTTGGGCAGCTCACAACCACCCTTAACTCCAGTTCCAGGGGCTCTGACCCCTCCTCTGGCCTCTTCAGGCACCTGCGCTCATGTGCACAAATGCCCACAGAGACATAATTAAAAAGTAAGATAAGCCTTTAAAAATAAAGATGTCCTTGAGTCTCTTGAGGCCTTCACCATCCTTGATATCGGAAGGCTCTTTACTGGAAGGAGCCCTTCTAATGGGGTCTTTAGTACACTACTAACCCACACTCTTTCTCCGACCTTGTGCTGGTGAGTTTTGTCAACTGGACAAAACTCTGGGTTGTTTTGATTTCTGATGACGCCAGTGGTTCCTGGGAGTCTGCCAGTCAGCGGAAAGCTCAGGTCTGTGGTGGGTGATTGAACTCCCGGGGGTGGGGGGCGGTGCGACAACCCCCTTCCTTGATACCCACGTGCCTTGAGCAACTCACGCAGTCCAAACTGTCTCTGAGTCTTCAAGGTCCAAATTTACGTGATGCTTACTTCAGAGAGCTCTGGCCCTGGCCTTGGGTTCTGGGGACAAGCTACGCTATCATCGGATGACACACACACACAGAGAACAGACATGAAAGGATGGGCAACGTGGGTGACCAAACCCTGGCCTTGCTGAGGGGAGACAGGGAGGCAACACAGGATGGCCTAGGATGGGAGGGGAAGGTCAGTTCCGGGTGGCTGAGGAGGCCTGCAGAGGAAGCTCACCCAGGAAAGGCCTGCTCCAGTCAGCTTTCTATTACTGTGATAACAAAGGCAATGTGGGGAAGAGTTTGTTTGTTTTAGTTTATAGCTCACAGCCCATCATTAGGGAAAGCCAAGGCAGGAACCCCGGACAGGAACCCGGAGCAGGAACTTACGCAGAGGCCATGGAGGAAGGCTGCTTCCTGGCTCGATCCCCATGGCTTGCTTGCTCAGTTGACTTTCTTGTACAGCCCAGGACCACCTGCCTGGGAGGGGCAACCACTCAGTGGGCTGGATCATCCCACATCAATTGCAAATCAAGAGAATGCCCACTCTTGCCCTCAGGCCAGTCTGACGGAGGTGATTCCTCAATCAATGTTCTCTTTCTCCCATGTGACTCGAGGTTCTGTCCAGTTGACG